GATATCATGAGCTCTCCATCTGCCCATTCTCTTTCCGCCCATATCCTGGAAGAGGTGGCCGAGCTCGATGTTTTCATTGATCAGCAGGCCACTTCCGTTCCTTCCCCTGAGTCCCCGCATGACTCTCCGGGCGGAGCCCAGGGGGGGACAGGCGAGGATAGGGACTCCCCCGAGGGGACCCCTGCCCCTGCGCAGGGGGATGATCCCGAGATCGACTACGGTCAACCTGACCAGCAGGAGGTCACCCTCTCCCCCGGGGCGGTGGCCGAGTTGGCCGAGTCCTTTTCTATCCTTCCGGCTTTCGAGCCGAGGGCTGCCGGGCCCAGCGACCGAGCTTGCCGACCTCCTCCCGACTTCGTATCCATCTATAGGGAGCAGTTGGTCGCAGGGCTCCGGCTCCCCATTCCTCCAGCCCTGGCTGAGATCCTGAGCTACTGGGGGCTCAGAATCACCCAGGTTCACCCCAACTCGATCAGGATCATCATTGGATTCCTGATCTATTGTCGGGTCTGCTCCATCTCCTACTCTCTTTCCCTCTTCCGAGCCTCCTATACCCTCAAACTCTCCCTTCCTGGGTGGTACTACATCTCCCGCCGAACTGTTGGCAAAGTTCGGGGTGGGAAGGGCACCCAGGATCTGCTCTTCGGGGTCCCCTCTTCCATAAAGAACTGGAAAGGGGACTTCTTCTTTGTCAAATCCGCGCATTTCCCTCCCAATGTGTGGAAGGTTGGGGAGGTCGAGTCCGACCCCTACCCGGAGGACCTGGACTCCGAAGCCCTCAGCCAGATGGTAAGCTCCAAGGTGAAGCTTTATGCTGCCAGGTTCTTCACTGAGCAGATTTCCGCGGCCGGACTGATGGGGACGTTGTCCGGGTCCCCTGGAAAGGTGGTGCCTGCCCCGGCCAACGATGACACCCGTAATGCCGCTTCTGTGCCCTTGTAGTCTGTCACTTTATTTTCCCTTTCACTAACCTGCTTTTACTGACCTGGTGGTGTTTGCTGCAGTGCGGAAGCTTTCCAAACTACTGGGCGCGCCACCCGAGCAGGTCACTCCCACCACGCAGCCAGAGGCGGCGAAGGAGGCCTCCGTGGCCTCTCCACCTCCTGGGGGCAGCTCGACTCCCCAGAAGGAGGCCTCTCAATCTCAGTTCCCCTCCAAGCAGGTCGCCAGCAAAAAGAAGGCGACAGGGCAGAAGAGGGGCCGAGGGGACGAGCCCTGCCAGCCCGCGAAGAAACTCGCGCCAGCACAGCCTCCCCCCGACGTCAACAGGAGGGGGGCCCTGTCCACCTGGGTGTTGGCTCCGCGGAGGACCATGCCCGGGAGATGCCTCCCCCGAACTTGTGGCACTTCCGCCATGTGACCCCCGCGAAATCGGGTCAGGCCCCCACCATGCATGATCCCCGTCACTTCTGCCCGTTCTGGGGCCTCTCCGTCAATGACCGAGCCCAGTTCCCCGAAGTGGCTCGCGAGTTGGTTGCGGGCTCAGTCCTTCCATGCGACAGGAGGTGGATGGAGCTGGCCAGCCCGTTCGAGCTCCAGGACATGTACTATACCGCCCAAGTCCAAGTAAGCCCTCTTCCGCTTAGGCCACTTGGGTCCCTGTTCCTTCCCTTGATGGAGTTGGTGATGTGCTAATTTTTACTTTCCCTTCCCCAGGTCAATGCCACCGGTGCTGCTCTGGTGACCCGTTTCTCCGAGCTGTCTCCCGATCTGGAGAAGTTACAGAAGAAGAATCGGGAGATCGAGTAGAAGCTGACCCAGGCCCTTAACGGGGCGGACTCCCTTAAGGCCAAGTTGGGCAAATCCGAGAAGGAGCTGGAGGCGGCCCAGGTCCAGCTCGCCTCCACCCGGTCCGAGCTGGACCAGGAGAAGAAGGGCGTGGCGAAACTGAGAGAGGACCACGCCATTGAGATTTCCGGCACCGTCAGCCGGGAGTGCAAGAAGGCTGTTCGGGAGTTCATCTCCTCCGAACAGTTTGCCGAGGACGTGGCTCTCCTCAACCAGCCCATCCTCCAGGTCGGCTTTACGCGAGCCCTGGACCAGGTGAAGGGCCTCAACCTGCCTGGCTTCAACTTGGCTGACTTCAAGGATTACAACCCCACAGCCGAAGAGAAGCTTGACTGGCTCTTCGACGTGTATTGCAAAAGGCATGCCCTGAAGGACCTGGTGGGCAAGAGTGATGTGGGGTCCGAGCTGGCGGAGGTTCCCTTGGGGGAGGACGAGGCTCCCGGCAGGGCTTCCGGGAAGGAGCCGGTGGCTTAGGGTAGCGGCCACTCTAGAAACCGTTTTCATCTTCTTATAAGGATGTGGCCATACCCCGAAGTTCATGATCTCCATAGATATCTTTTTGAATAGCCTTCACCATACGCCTCTCAGCATGTTTAAGGTGTACCATCAGCTCCCGCTTCAAGCAGGTCGCCAGCAAGAAGAAGGCATAGCTAGGTTTTCCTTTCCTTTTATAGCTCGGTAAGCTTTGTAATAGATAGGGTCTGAATGCACATATGAAACGATGCTTGAATGAAACTATCTGATTTTGGCCTTCAATCCTTGCTAGCGTCGAACTCTAGCGACCGAAAAGGCACACCGACCTCCCAAGTCGAGCACCAAATAGATCCACCAAGGCAGCGTGCCGGCCTCTTGGGTCGAGCATCTATCACACTTTAAGCTAACAACTAAGTTGTCAGGGACACCAAACCATCAAACTATCAGGCTGATTTAGCAATCGAATTCTAGTAATCGGAGCGACGCGCCGGCCTCCTGGGCCGAACACCAAACCTCTGGGCTTTAAATTACGCCGACCTCCTGGGTCGAACGTCAAACCTGACTTACTGAGGCAGCGTGCCGGCCTCTTGGGCCGAGCATCCGCCAAACTACAAGCCAACAACCAAATTGTCAAAGGACGAAAATCGGGGGGTCCCATCAGATGATCAAACTAAGTTAACCACCAAATTCCAACAACTTGGGCGGCTTGCTGACCTCTTGGGCCGAGCATCGGACCCTAAGGTTTTTTGAGTTGCGCCGACCTCCTAGGTCGAGCGGCAAAATTTTAAAGTCAGTCGTGCCGACCTCCAGGGTCGAGCGTCAATTCTCGAACTTTAAAGGCATTCCATTGATTCATTATCTTAATTTGTCCCCTAGCCGCCGACCTCATGGGTCGAGCGTCAAAATTTTAAAGATAATCATGCCGACCTCCTGGGTCGAGCGTCGATCTCTCAGACTTGAAAGGCGTTCCATCCGTTACCATTCATCTCCACTCAGGGCCCCTCACTAGGACACTTAGCATTATCTGAATGTGCTAGTGTAGAAGTGGAAAGTTAAACGGCATTGATAATGAGAATGGACTTAAAACATGAAAGCCGACCATTTATTTAATGATGAACTTGTATGAGGATTCCGGAGAATACAATAAGATACCCTGGACCAATCTATCCTACGAACAACCGTAAATTCGAGAAGTGCCAAGTGCGGGGTACCTCTACTCCGTCTAATTTCGCAATCTTACAGTACCCAACCCGGTTTGTCTCTAAGACCTTGTACGGCCCCTCTCAGTTTGGATCAAGCTTGTTGGAGCTATGAGCTCGGCTGACTGAGTTCTTTCTTAGGACGAGGTCTCCTGGCTGGTACTGCGTATTCCTCACCTTCGCGTTATGATAGCGGGCGAGCTGACTTTTATTCTTAGCCATCCGTATCGCCGCTTCCTCACGCTTGGCCTCCAGCATGTCCAAGTTGCACCTCCTTTTTGATCACCTCGTTCCTTTCGGGGGCGAAACTCCTCTTCTTCTGCTTCACCGGCTTGAAGCGGGGATCTACGTTGAGGTGGTGGACGGCCAGATCGGTCGGGATCCCCGGTATGTCCTCCACCGTCCATGCGAAAACTTGGGAGTACTCCCTTAACAGGGCCTTCAAGCCCTTCTTCTCCTTGGTGGGTAGCAGCGCACCGGTGCGGAGCACCTGGTCGGGCCGGTCTTCCCTCAAGGGGAATTCCTCGATCTCGTCCTGGGTGTCCAGCCGTCGGGCCTCCTCCCCCGGGATGTAGGGCTTCAAGCTGGTTGTCTGGGCGACCACCTTCTCCGGTCCCCGGAGCATGGCCAAGTAGTAGGCTCTGGCCATTTCCGGATCTCTATGCACTTCGGCGATTCCCCTCGGGGTGGGAAATTTGACGCTGAGGTGGAGCGAAGAGGGGATAGCTCGGAGGGCGTTCAAGGCGGGCCAACCCAGGAACACATTGTAAGTAGATTGTTGCTTGACCACCACAAAGTCGACGGGGATGGTCCGACATTTGGGCGCCTGCCCTACCGTGACCATCAGGGTGATCATCCCCTCCGGATTGATGGGCAGTCCGGTGAAGCCCACCAGGGGTGTCCGTACCGGTGTTAGCTGTCCATCCTCCAAACCGAGCTCTTTGAACAACCGGTAAAACAGGATGTCCACTGCGCTCCCCTGGTCGACGTACACTTTTTTCACCCGATAGTTATCGGTCACGACGTCTATCACGATGGCCTCGTGGTTTCCAGACGCCAGGGGAACCGCATCCCTTGGTCCGAAGGTGATCTCCTCATCCATGCGCAAGCGCTTCAGGGAATCATCCCCCTCGGGGGGAGGCCGCCGGTTCTTCCGAGCTGCATGGCTGTCCCCCCGTGGGGCCCCCAGCGATGGTGTTTATCACCCCTGCTAAGTTCTGGGTGTCCTGGTCGGGGGAGTGTCCCCGAAGCACGTCACGCCGCTCAAGGCGGTCGCGACGCTGGCCCTCTCCCCGGTCTCCGCGGTAGGTGCCTCCGGGCTCTTGGCCCTGCCGACCTTGCCGCACGAATCGTCCCTGGAAGCCGCGCTGGATCAGATCCTCGATCTCCTTCCGCAAGGCCCAGCACCCCTCCGTGTCGTGCCCGACATCACGATGAAAGGCACAATACCGGTCCTGATTCCTCTTGTTCCGGGGGGTTCCCATCTTAGGTGGTCGTTCCCCTAGACCCTCTGCCTCCATGACGGCCAGGATCTGGGCCCTAGGCAGAGTCAGGGGGGTGTAGCCTTTCTCCGGGAGCGGCGGCGGAGCGGGGGCTTTCTCCTTTGAGAGTCGGTCGAAAACATTCTTCTTGGGCCGGCCGTCCTTGGTCTCGGGGGGGGTTTCCCCGTCCTCTCCGATTTCCGATCTCCCGATCTGACTCTCTCTTCAGGCGAGCAGCCTCCTCCGCATTAGCGGCTGCGTGCGCCCTGGTCAAGAGCTCCTCCAGGTCTCCAGGAGGCTTCTCGACGAGTTTGTAGAATAGCTCCTCCGCCCTGAGCCCGTTCATAAAGGCGGCCATGACCACCTTTTCGTCCTTGTCCCTGATCTGCAAGCTCTCCGTGTTGAAGCGGGTCATGAAATTCCTCTGGGACTCGTTCGGCTTCTGCTTGATTGCCATGAAGTGAGCCGCATTTTTCGAGTAAGTCTTCGAGGAGACGAACTGGGAGGCGAACTGTCTGGCCAGCTCGGGAAAACTCCGGATGGATCCCGGTGCCAGACCCTGGAACCAGAGCTGGGCCTTCCCCTTCAGAAACATGGGGAAGGTTTTGCAGCGGACTTCATCCGCAGCGGTTTGCAGACCCATGTGCGTCAGAAAGACCGAGAGGTGGTCTTCCGGGTCGATCGAGGCGTCGTACAACTCGATGTTCGGGATCTTGAACCTCCGGAGTAGTGGGTAGTCCTCTATCTCCCGGGTAAAGGGCGAGGTGGTGTAGTTGTCCTCGTACAACCGCGGCCGCAAGATCTGCTCAAGCTCGTCCCGGACAGGCTTCCACTGGGGGGGTCCCGCGTCCGGCTCTTGATGAATTGGGCGGGGGAACGCTCAGGCTCGTTCCGCGCAAGCTTCCACGAGGAGGGATTCCTTGGTCGGCCCCCAACGGACCGGTTACGAGAGTACCTCTCGCTATCCCCGACCACAGAGGCCCGCGGCCGAGGGGGAGTCCGTGGCCGTTTCCTCCTGGGGGGCTGGTCCCGTGACTCATCCTCGGAGGGAACGGGAGGTGATTCCCTCTCCTTCCCCTTCGCCTTGGTGCACCCCCTACTTCACCCCCTTCCTTTGCTTGTCGAATTATGTCCTCTAGCATGGGAAGGTTCTCCGTCACGAACTGAAAGATCTGCTGTCTCCGTTCCCCTGAAAGGGCTGAGCCCCCGGCGCCCCGGACCGCTTCAGTCCCCATTCGCCGGGACCCCTCGCCGGCCCCGGGATCGGTGTTCTCCACGGTTTGCTTGGAACGCGTTCTCGCCATCAACACAACTACTCGGTTCCCACAGACGGCGCCAACTGAAGAAGCACTGAACTTCCCCGGACCGAGCTAACCTGATGAGCTCGGCGTGCTGATGAGGTGAGCGTGTCCCAAGCCTGCAAAACAAACAAGAGAGTGGTCTGAAAAGGGGGCCCCGAGGTCGTCCCCGAGGGCACTCCGACGGTCAAGTTAGTTCTCCGGTGAGTGAAGTTCACGGGAAACAAAGCCGTTAGGAGTAATATGTCAATAGTGAGCGTACCTTGTGCGGTGGATATGCGGCACCATTTATACCTGCTGGTAAGTCCGATCTCCGTACGTTTCGGGACCTGCCCAAAATAATCTCAATCCCCCGCCGAGGGGGATTCTCCCCGCCCTCTGCGGGATTGTTTCCCAGGGCTTCTCGGAACCCTAGTAGCGGTTTGCCCCATGACGGCTGTCAGGGGCCTGGAGTCCAGGCCCAGCTCCGACCTTCCCGGGCTGCCACGTGTCCAGGCCCAGGACGGGGCCTCCGCAAATCTGATAACTTTTCAACTACTACCAAAGATCGGAATCCCGTTCCAAGATATCCAGATTAAATATCCATGCACGTGAAAGATATCAGAACCATGTGATTAAAAGAGAGGGATTGATTGGGTGATTTGGGAAAAGAAGTTTAAGTAAAGTGTCCGGACTTCGAAACCCCCACTTACATTAGAAAAAAAGAAAACATGTGATCAACAACTGCAACTACCACGTAAAAATACCCAATAACAAATTTGTATTAGGTCCTCAATCCTCTTGGGTATTTCTAGGCAGTACCCACCAACTCAGCCAACTCAGAGCTCGAAAAAAAATTATGGGTGCTAAAGAATTGATGTGGAGAAAGCTTCATGTTAACCTTGTTTGGATCAGTTAAGATTGCATCAAAGTGGGCAAGATGCCAAATAGGGACAAGAAATAAATCAAATATCTATATATAGATATATATATATATCTATATATAGATATATATATCTATATCTATATGTATTGTGGGGGAGGTTTTAGTGGAGGCTCCTAGATGACTTCCAAATTTCTCATACATTTTTTTTAGATTTTTCATTTATTTCAATACATAAATTCAATTAAAAAGTTTGAAATAGTGTGATTTCCTACTAATCCTATGACAATTCAAATTTAAAATTTAAAATTTAAAACTTTCTCTCCCACTTAAAATGAGTGCTTAATAAATCGTTTATAGTTTGTTTTCAAACTTTAACCCTTTTTTTCCTTCCATAAATAAAGAAAATAAATTTTGATAGTTTGATTAGTCCCATGTTAAAATCATTCACCCCATTATAACTTTATCACTTTAGCCCATTTTATTCCTTGATTAATAAGATTGATTTGTCAAATCTGAGGAATAATGTGATTAGTCTTATTTTTTAATCATTTATATAGTAATATTTTTAGCACTTTCCTTCTAGATATATACATAGATTTGTCAAATATATAGATAACATATCCAATTATAACCATTCTTTAACCATTTTACCTTTTGCATCCAAATTAATTTTTTTAGCTGTAAACTTATTCTATTAGACGATGATTCCAACCAATGAAATAAACATTTTGACATACAACGTCATCTAGATAATTTTTTACCTGCACAAAACTTCATCTAGATAATTTTACATATAACGCGTACATCAGAAAGTGCACATAAAATAAAATTTTGATATGAATTTTAAATTAATAAAAGGGGCATTTAGATGATTTTTTTTGAGTGTTTATCAAAAAAATTTTAAAACAATATTTGTTTAAACGATTATCTTGGGTGATCATCACAAAAAATAGTATTATTTCACCAAAGTTATACCCAATTACTTTTCCTTCACGACTATAATTCTAACTCTTTATTTGAAAAAAAAAATTCGAAAAGTGAGGTAATGAATCCTAAATGCTAAAAGGAATATAAAGATTGAACTATAGGGCCGGGAAGGGTAAAAGTAAGGTAATGAATCGTAAATAGTAAAAGGAATATAAAGATAGGAAAGTCAAGGAAAATGTAGTTGTGGGTTATATTGAAACTATGAAAATGGATGACTTATGTTGGTTAAATGGATATAGTTTTACATGGTTTTGGTTATGCTACCCATTTACAATCCATTACAAACTTTATTTATTTTTCTCCCATATTCTTTGAGCAACAAAATAATATATCATTGTAATCAACAAAACTAAGAACACATTGCATTAATAAATAAATTTTTACCTAAAAAATTACACAGAAAACTAATAGTGGCGATCATAAGGAGTTTTAATTTTGTCACTCTGCAAGAATCGCAAAATAATTTAGGTGTGAATGCAAGAAATCAATTTACACTAAATGAGTAAATTAAAACTTTGATGGAAGGGAGGGAGAAAGTAGGATAAAATTTAACAAAAATTAGAAAAATAAAAATTAATGAATAGGAAAAGAATGTTAAATATGCCTTTGCAAAAAGTAGAATATTATTATTGAATTTGTAGTGATTTAAATTTACATACTAATGAATTTGAATCCATGTCCAATTTAATTCGGTCTAAATAGGTAGTTCCAATCTATCCATTTAATAGCCACTAATTAATGAGATTAATTGGGCTACTGACAGGTTGTCGATGCTTGTGCAATAATAATAATGATAATCCTAGTTACCAACAAAAGCAGTTTCGAGTCAATTCTGGTACTGGAGCAGGGACTTTGGATGTGCAATGAGTTATTAGATTAACCATAGTTCCGAAGAGTTTACTAAATTCGATATACCATAATTTATTTACGAGAACATGTTAATTTGCATATAGGACAAGTAGGGTCGAATCTACAGGGATTGGGAGTAAAAGACTGATTTGGTCAGATTTTAACTCAAATGGGGTGTTATCATTTAAATTTGAAAAAGTGATGCATAAGGGCTGCTGATTTAATTTAGGAACAGCCAACTCTCGCAATATCTGTGCATTAGCCATAGTGACTTCTTCTCGATCCGGATCACTCGAAGTATCGCTAAGCGAACTTGTTGATTCAACTTCTGGATCAGATCTCTGAGATGTAGCACAAGATTGTTCTTCTCTGAGCTGTCTGGTCTCTTTTCGCGTTCAACGCGCGGTCTTCTCTATTTCAGGGTAAAAAATCAATTAGCCTGTACGAGAACACCGAAGCATAAACTAGAAAAATACCAAAAAATTAACATGAAAATGAACTTAAAAAGAAACAAATTAACTAACGCCAGTCCCCGGCAATGGTGCCAAAAATTGACAGCTTGTCGGTGCCTATGCAATAATAATAATGATAATTTTAGTTGCTAACAAAAGCAGTTTCTAGTCAATTCTAGTATTGGAGCAGGGATTCTGGATGTGTAATGGGTTACTAGATTCACTTTGACTCTGAAGAGTTTGCTAAATCTGATATACCAAAATTTATTCACGAGAACTTGTTAATTTGTATATAGGACAAGTAGGGTCAAATCCACAGGAAGTGGGAGTAATTCGTTTCAACTAAAGTTCAAGTTATGGGAGGATTTTAGCGAAATTAACAATAAACTATACTAATCAAACATTGCAGTTAAATAAGAATTAAATAACAATAAGGTAAAAACTCAAATAGTATTGGACAGCTCTAGTCGAGAAGCAATTTCGGCAATGATTCATCGAATTGACCATCGATGCAAGGGTGGTTCCAATTATTAACTAATAAATAAGTTATAACTGCCAAACACGCGATGATAGTCAACTCCTCCTTACTGTGTCGGTGATTAAGGTACGCACGTTAATCGCCACTCTAATCGAGAAACAATCCTAAATACGCCCACAAGATTTAATTTCCCAATTGCCTGACGTATTAGAGGATCCCTATTCTAACCAAATAATACACTACTAGGGTTATTTTAGATTAGCCTGCGTATTCCCCTGATACGAATCTAATCATGTCAGTTGCCACTATTTTAGATCAATTGAATAATTACGGATTCAACGCTCCAATTGACATTAAGTTGCTAAATTAATTCAACATCCGGGCCCAGGATATTTAACTAACAGAACAACCATAAGCACTATAAACAGAGAGTATGCAAATACTAGCAAATAAGAGAAATAAATAAAATTAGTTCAATTTCACAATTTTTAGATGAATCGAGACCTCCATTGTTCCTTGACTAGAAAAAAGAGATTAGTTCATCTCTGTTGAGGAAAACCCACGCGAAATTGTAGAATTAATTGTGCATACATCGTCTCTCAATTGAGAGGAGCATCCGATGGAACAAGTCACAAGAATAAGATGCAAAAGTTAAAATCCAAAGTAGTCAAGAATGTCTACTACTTTTTCTCCAATTCCTATCTATTTCCTACCTAATTGTCTACTCCTATATGGCTACTCCAATGAGTAATAGGAAAAGAGAGTCCTAATCTCAATTGACTTCTATCTCCTATTCAACTGAAGCCAAAAAAATAGGAAGTCTCATAATTGGCCCGTTTCCTATTTTTGCTAGACTACCTTTTCCAATTCAAATCTAACAATCAACTAATGGAATATTTGCGGTCCCACGTTGTACTTCCAATTGGCAATTGGTGTCTCGCGCCTGTCCCGCATTTTCTGGACACGTTAAGATCTGACTTGACGTGCCTACGCCAAATAGCAATTGTAGTGGAGAATTTGCACCTTTTAACCACATTTTATTCCAACTCCCTGCAATCAATACAAATTCTCAAAAGTGAGTAGAATCCGCCAATTAATGCATATTCGGTAAGATAATATGAGGGAATTAATTATAAAATAGATGACAAAAAAAAGTGCGACTTATCAATTCCCCCCACACCTAAACCATGCTTGTTCTCAAGCATGAGAACAGCAAACAAATACCAATTCCTGATAATGGCTATCACTCCATCTATCTTATTGCCAAGATACCAAGAAAAACACCTATCAAGCATCAATGGTCAAAGTCCCAGAAACATCACTTCGGTTAGCTTTTAACTGCATGCTCTTCTAATTTATGGCTAATTATTGTAAGAAAAAGGAATGGTCGATCAACAAATGGTCCAACTATTAACTAAAATCTCAATATTAAATCCATAGATTGGCAAACTGACTTTAAGCACATATCTATACAACTTTCACACCCTTTAATCATGCTTTTCTATTTTTCTCTTTTTTTCTTTTCAATAGTAATGATAGACTTAGTCTCTAGCCATTACAGTCTTTTGATACGAACTCCAATATTTGTCAGATGAAGGAGCCCGGTTACTCAGCTCCTATCGCTATAAGACTATATACTCATAGGCATTACTACTTTTTGACGCAAGAATCGACACTTTTGGTGAAGATCCCTAGTTACTCAGCAGTAATAACTAGTGGAGTACAACCAACTTTTATGCACAGCCATGCAATAAAATAACTCAAAATGTCACATAAAATAACAGCAGCTAGCCTCATTTCTTCAAACATGGAGAACTAAAGTTAATAATTGGATCAATTCACATGAAAATGCCAACTAGTTATTCGCTATGTCTAGAAAAGTTAACCAAAAATTATAACAGTCACAAAATCATTCATATTCATCAAAGAGATATTTTGGACTCAGCCGGCTTAACTTGATACACTTTTATTGCTAAAACTTGACAATAGTAGAATTGGAGTCAAACAACCATCATCAATCCTTGGTAGTCATAGAAGTGCTGATCACTAATAAAAGTTAAAAGAAAATAAAAGAAAAATAGAACAAATAACAAGAAATAAAAGAAAAATAGCTAAAAACTAAAAACTAAAAATATTAGCTGTACCACAGCTCTCTCCCTTCCTCCCCAACACCTAAATCCGACATTGTTCTCAATGGAGATCAAAAAGCAAAAAAAGCACATAGGATAATGAAACTTCCCCGAATACGTGATGGAGGATGTCGATCGGCTACGGAATAGGTGGGAACGGGGGAGCTACGTGAGGGAGAGAAGGAGATAGAAAGAGAGAGATGCAGCTGAGCTGTAGTGGTGTGCAGGCGCTCGGTGAAGCAGCAAGCAACGACGGCAGTAGGAGGGCAGCAGCAATGCACGAAAAGGCCTAGGGAGAGGCGGCGGCTAGAATACGGCGGATGAGCATGGATGACAGTGGCGGCGCACGTCGAGGCGAGGAAGACAGTTGTGAACGGTGGTGGAGCAGCCGTGAGGTTGCAGCGCTTCGTGCAGGAGCGACGGCGCGCGTTGGGTGGCCACCGAAGGGGAAGAAGGGAAAAACAGGGGAGGAGAAAAGGAAGAAAAGAAAAAGAAAGAAAAAGAAAGGAAGAAAGAAAGAAAAAGAAAGAAAGAAGGAAAAAGTAGCGTTTTTTTACATACATTTCCCTCAAACATATGATGTGGGCATGTCAAGAAGGCAAGAACCCTTCTGATGAATGTCCGTTGAGTTCAAAGTTACCACGTGCCTGGTTGACGTAGGCGCGTCATAAGAATGGAAACCATTCTGATGAAGATTTTAAAAATTGCACATTACCACGTGCCCAGGTGACGCGGGCACGTCATGAGGGCAAGAACCCTTTTGATGAGGAATTGTTGAATTAAAAGTTACCACCGCCTTGTTGACGCGGGCACATCATGTCAATCAATCTGCTCCAGGATCAAATGAAGAGCTCTCTAGGCGACTCGACACGAGCACATCATGAGGGTTGAAACCTTCTGATAAAGCACCTGGAAATTGCGCACGTCATGAGGGCAAGAACCCTTCTGATGAGGAATTGTTGAATTAAAAGTTACCACGCGCCTTGTTGACGCGGGCACATCATGTCAATCAACAGGATCAAATGAAGAGCTCTCTAGGCGACTCGACACGAGCACATCATGAGGGTTGAAACCTTCTGATAAAGCACCTGGAAATTGCACGTTACCAGGCGCCTTATTGACGCAGGTGCGTTATGTCGGGAAAACACCTACTAATCATCAGAAAATGAAAAATTAAACCAAGAATTTGGGAAAACTTTAAGAAAACTCATTGAAGCGATCAACTAAAACTTGAACAAACAACTAAAAGAAATTGGGTTGCCTCCCAATAAGCGCTTTTCTTTAACGTCTTTGGCTAGTTGTTAAGCATCACTTCTCAATTTGGATGTAATTCAAATTTTCTTACAATCGGTAGCATTCCTCCAAGATTCAAATAGCTATTTAGTGCAACAATCTTCTTTAATTTTCTACTCATTTTCACCTCATAAATTGTTTTCATCCCATAATACTTGTTCGCAGCAAATTTACATTTGCCCCTACAATCAAATTCAGAAAATCTTGTATAGAAGGATTAGTAGTATGATTGGCAAACACAGAATCAGAGTTAATAAGATGTTTCATTGTATCAAAAATATTAAAGTGAACTATTTCTCCATCAAATTTTATTGTGAGAGTACCCTTACTAACATCAATTTTAGTTTGGACAGTACTCTAGAAGTACCTTCCTAATATAATAGGTGATGGATTTGATGCACTTCTATCATCCATATAAAGCACATTAAAATCAGTAGGAAAAATTAATTCATCTACTTGAACTAAAACATCCTCAATTACCCCATCCAAATAAGAAAACATACGATCAGTCAATTGAATTATTATTCATGTTTTTTTCAAATGTCCTAAATTTAGGGAATCATAAATTGATTTAGGCATCACGTTAATAGAAGCTCCTCAATCTAGCATGGCATTTTTGATATTAGAATGTCCAATCTTATAGAGGATAGTAAATATATCTGAATCCCCACATTTAGGTGGTAGTTTCCTTTGTAAAATCGCTGAAACGTTCTCACCTACCACAATCTGCTCATCCCCCCCTCAACTTCTTCTTATTGACGCACAAGTTTTTTAAGAATTTAGCATATTTCAGCACTTGTCTGATTGCGTCCAACAAAGGGTTATTGATTGCCACCTTTCGAAACACCTCTAGAATTTTCTTTTCCTTAGTTTGCTTCTTTGGTTTCTCTAACTTGCTCGGAAAAGGCGGTGAATTAGTTCTAACTTTAATTATAGAATCAGGAATTACCTTTGGATTTGCGTTTCTCATTCCTTCCTCCTTAAGCTCTTTTTGAATTCGATCTTTATTTTTATCCTTCGAAATCATGAGTTTGGGTCTCTGAATTTTCTTCTCGCTCCTTAAAGTCGTTGCACTTACATTTTTCGGGTTCAGTTCAGGTTGAGATGACAATTTTTCATGAACTTGGGATTCCAGACGGTTGATTGTTATTGCTATTTGACTTATCTAACTTTGCATTGCTTGCATCTGACCAATTTGACTTTGCAAGTTAGATTCCGTATTTTGTTGACTAGCAATTAGTTGCTTCATCATTTCTTCTAAAGACGGGCTTGAATTCGGAGGAGGTGGTGGCTGCCAAGGTTGGTACTATTGTTGATACTCATGTGGTCTATTCAGTGCAAAATTTAATTGTCTATTTCCCCCATATCTAAGGTTAGGGTAATCTCTCCAACCTGAATTGTACGTATTCGAGTAGGGGATCATATGGCTTTCTTGGCGCGGGCGCATGACCAGCTATGTTTACTTGCTCCGCACTCTCTTCTTGAATCATCGGGCACATCTCTATAGAATAACCCATGACAGTACAAATTCCACACACCTTGACTTGTGGTACATTTCTTACAGCCAATTGCCTAACAAAGGACGTTAACTCAGACAACTGCTGTTGGATAAAGGATGTTTCTACCTCATTCACTCTGCGTATCGGGACATCCTCCCTTGTACCGAATTGCTGCGAGTTCTCAGCCATCCTTTCAATCAACTTCCACGCTTCTCGAGGAGTCTTGTTCAGCAGCGTCCCTCCACTTACAGCATCAATAATACTCCTATCTCTGAAAAGTAGCCCCTCGTAAAAATACTGGATAAGCAGTTGCTCACTTATTTGATGTTGAGTGCGTTTGAAGCATAATTTCTTGAATCTTTCCCAGTAATCATAAAACGACTCTCTTGGATGTTGTTTGATACCACATATCTTCTTCCTCAGACTTGTAACTTGAGATGAAGGAAAATATTTTTCTAAGAATTTTTTCTTCAACTACTCCCAAGTGGTGATACTACTTGGAAGTAGATAGTACAACCAGTTTTTTGCTGAGTCCTTGAGAGCGAAGGGGAATGCCCTCATTTTTATTTGTTCTTCCGTAATTCTCGGGGGGTTTCATACTATTGCAAACAATATTGAACTCTTGCAAGTGCTTATACAGCTCCTCACCTGGTAAACCATGAAAAGATGGTAAAAGACTGATTTGATCAGATTTTAACTCAAATGGAGTGTTATCATTTAAATTTGGAAAAGTGATGCATAAGGGCTGTTGATTTAATTTAGGAGCAACCAACTCTCGTAATATCTATGCATTAGCCATAGAGACTTCTTCTCGATCCGGATCACTCGAAGTATCGCTAAGCGAACTTGTTGATTCAACTTCTGGATCAGATCTCTGAGATGTAGCACAAGATTGTTCTTCTCTGAGCTGTCTGGTCTCTTTTCGCGTTCAACGCGCGGTCTTCTCTATTTCAGGGTAAAAAATCAATTAGCCTGTACGAGAACACCGAAGCATAAACTAGAAAAATACCAAAAAATTAACATGAAAATGAACTTAAAAAGAAACAAATTAACTAACGCCAGTCCCCGGCAATGGTGCCAAAAATTGACAGCTTGTCGGTGCCTATGCAATAATAATAATGATAATTTTAGTTGCTAACAAAAGCAGTTTCTAGTCAATTCTAGTATTGGAGCAGGGATTCTGGATGTGTAATGGGTTACTAGATTCACTTTGACTCTGAAGAGTTTGCTAAATCTGATATACCAGAATTTATTCACGAGAACTTGTTAATTTGTATATAGGACAAGTAGGGTCAAATCCACAGGAAGTGGGAGTAATTCGTTTCAACTAAAGTTCAAGTTATGGGAGGATTTTAACGAAATTAACAATAAACTATACTAATCAAATATTGCAGTTAAACAAGAATTAAATAACAATAAGGTAAAAACTCAAATAATATTGGACAGCTCTAGTCGAGAAGCAACTTCGGCAATGATTCATCGAATTGACCATCGAAGCAAGGGTGGTTCCAATTATTAACTAATAAATAAGTTATAATTGCCAAACATGCGATGACAGTCAACTCCTCCTTACTGTGTCGGTGATTAAGGTACGCACGTTAATCGCTACTCTAATCGAGAAACAATCCTAAATATGCCCATAAGATTTAATTTCCCAATTGCCTGACGTATTAGAGGATCCCTATTCTAACCAAATAATACACTATCAGGGTTATTTTAGATTAGCCTGCGTATTCCCCTGATACGAATCTAATCATGCCAGTTGCCACTATTTTAGATCAATTGAACAATTACGGATTCAACGCTCCAATTGACATTAAGTTGCTAAATTAATTCAACATCCAGGCCCAGGATATTTAACCAACAAAACAACCATAAGCACTATAAACAGAGAGTATGCAAATACTAGTAAATAAGAGAAATAAATAAAATTAGTTCGATTTCACAATTTTTAGATGAATCGAGACCTCCGTTGTTCCTTGAGTAGAAAAAAGAGATTAGTTTATCTTTGTTGAGGAAAACCCACGTGAAATTGTAGAATTAATTGTTGCATACATCGTTTCTCAATTGAGAGGAACAATCCGATGGAACAAGTCACAAGAATAAGATGCAAAAGTCAAAATCCAAAGTAGTCAAGAATGTCTGCTACTTTTCTCCAATTCCTATCTATTTCCTACCTAATTGTCTACTCCTATACGGCTACTCCAATGAGTAATAGGAAAAGAGAGTCCTAATCTCAATTGACTTCTATCTCCTATTCAACTGAAGCCAAAAAAGTAGGAAATCTCCTAATTGGCTCGTTTCCTATTTTTGCTAGACTACCTTTTCCAATTCAAATCTAACAATCAGCTAATGGAATATTTGTGGTCCCACGTTGTACTTCCAATTGGCAATTGGTGTCTCGCGCCTATCCCGCATTTTCTGGACACGTTAAGATCTGACTTGACGCGCCTATGCCAAATAGCAATTGTAGTGGAGAATTTGCACCTTTTAACCACATTTTGTTCCAATTCCCTACGATCAATACAAATTCCCAAAAGTGAGTAGAATCCGCCAATTAATGCACATCCGGTAAGATAATAGGAGGGAATTAATTATAAAATAGACGACAAAAGTGCGACTTATCAGTTACCCATTTAAAGTTAATAAAATTGCCTACCCATACTCATTTGTTGAATAGCAAGTTGAAAAATTGGTCATTATTTACAACTATATATGAAGAGTAACATGATAGGTGGTAAATAGGTTGCGAAATTGGATAAGGGATTGCATAATTTGATAGAAGTAGGGTAGAGTGAACAAAAGGTAGAGTTTGTTGGAAAGAGAAGATTTGGAGGGATGTGGAAAGTTTGGGTTAGGTGAGGAATAGAGTAACGAAGAGTAGAGGAATGTTAACGGAAAATGGTGCCAAAAAAGAGAACATCAAAGGAAGGGGTAATAATTTGTGCTTGGTGTACTTTTAATATTTCTTTAGATATTTTTGTGACATTTGTTCATATTTTTTAATGTACGTTAAGGTTTTAGATAAGATACATAAATACAACATAAATTAGATACTAAAATAGCACTCTTTTAATTTTTTTAACCTTTTTCATGTAACTAATATAAATAATTCATTTCCTATTATTATTATATTAAATATAAATTCCTACATAGCACGGGTTGCAATACTAGTTGTATTACTCTAGTTAAGCTTGTGGAATCAACTAGACAAAATCTTAATCTTTCTTACACTGTGAGTATATATGTTGATGGGGTTGGACATAACCACATCATTTAAATTTGAACTTGAATATCAAAATTTATAAAGATGGTGTGCATCTAGACCCGCGAGTGTATACGTTTTTAATGCATAAAGGATATATCGATATAGTTATAGCAATTTGACAATCTTCTCTTATGAAAGATACAAGCCTGCCTGTCCCCAAATCTTGTCTCACAAATTGTGTACTTAAAAAACAGAACATACTAATTTACACGCCACCAAATAAATTTCAAGACCTTATCAAATCCTAAATCAATTTTTTTGAATCTTGGACAGGAAAGATTTGATAGGATAGGATACGAGTCATTGTCAAGCGGATCCTGCTCCTTTTCGTTACTTATTTTCTCTAGTTCTCCTCGATATAGCATTACCATTTTGACATGTGTTCAATGTGAATTCAATGTGCAGGATTTCTTTTGCTTATAACTAGCATCTTAACCTTGGTTAAGCACAATTTAACGTACCATATTTATCGTAATTTGGAGGTTTTGAAAAAAAGCCAAACCTTTTCCAATCAAATTTTATATGGGAAAAGAAAAAAGAAGGAAAAATCAAATCATGAAATTTCATGGGAAAAGAAAAAGAAAGAAAAATGAAATGAAGGAATTTAAGTTCATATTGTTACAGTTATATTCTGTCCAAATCAATCTTGCATCTTTTCTCAAATTGCAGTGAATTGGTTATGTTTTTGTTACGTGAAAGGGAATTTTTGTTTTGAGAATTTCAAAAAAGTTCTCAAAGAAAATATTCAGATTAATCAATATCCATTACTGTAAAATTCATGAGCCAGCAAGCAAAAATGAAATCGATTTGTAAACACTTTAGAGAACCTATACGAAAATTGAATGTTGGTCATGATAAAACCCTCTCTATTAGGATTCTTCTGTTAATTCAATTGAATAAAATCGGGCTACACATTTATACCAAAATAATAACTTGTAAATTTTCAAAATATTCACTCAGTTATGTCTTTTTTTAGTCATTTTTTAGTCTTTTTTTTTTAAATTTTCCATGGAATAGTTTCTATGAGACGGAAGTGCAAAATGGGAGGGTTGAAAAGTTTTCATTCATCATTACATTGTGAATGTCTCTATGAACTACATTGAGTCTTTAAAACACTAGCAATGTACTGTTATTTGAAATCGACGGATGATTTTAGGAAATTTTGGCCTTTCAGTAAAAATGCAAAACTTTTGGTAATTTGTGGATTGGTGTTGACGTGCGTAGGGTATACATATAACATTAACCTCATCCTAATCAAGTTTTACATTTATAAACTCCTAAATACCCCACACGCGATTTATCACAAGTATACGAATCGTGAGCGAGTATAGGGTATTAAGGGTCGATCCCACAAGGAAGATTGCAATTACCGGTACTGCTAAAGTTTCTCTATTATTTAGACTATCAATGTATTATAAGAAATGAAACCTACAGAACTTGTGCAAGAAAATAACAAATGAAAGCTCCTTAGGTTGTGGTATCCCTAACTACTCATGCAAGTGCTATATTTGGATCATTGAATACTACTATCTAGGTTAGTTATGGTGTAATTTCCTCATGCATATGAAACCTACTTTCGTAGTGAATCAATTATACTCATAACTAATCCATACCTATTCTCATGGTTATGAAATTAGTTAGAAGTTCATTTCTTCAATGAAATTACATGAAATGAATCACTAAAATCACATAGGTGCACCTCTACTCTCGTGAGTGTACTCCCTATGTTTAGCACTTCTTGAACCAGTGTTAAATCTCAATTTTCATTACAGAAACAACACCTTAGATAATCACAATTAATGGTACCAGATTAATCATGATTTAAAGAGCCAAAGTGCTAAATAACTTGCTCAAATCATAGCAATCAAATAACCAAATAATAAACACTAACAATCATAGAAAGTTCAACCAAACCCAAGACGTAAACTTTAAAGATACATATTAAACATAAAATCTAGAACTTGTATATTAACTAAACTTTAAATCAAGTACAAAAGATAAAGAGTTTGGAAGGAATGTAACCCTTGTCACATGAGTTCATCTCTTTGCCTTCTTTATCCTCCATCTTCATCTTTGCCTAGCTAATAAACAAGATTGGATGAACTGTCTAAACTACTATCCTACACTAAGAAAAATGGAAGAGCTGCATTTTTGCAGT